CACTTGTACCTGTACTTTAAACTACCAGGTGTTGATAAATCAGTGACCGGACAGCCATGGATTTTCTATTCAATTTAAAACACCAGACTTTCTTAGTGATTAGTGACTAAAATAACAAGAGTGAAACATTTACCCTACTAAGATCTTTACCATCTACAAGGTGCATATGTCAACAAATTAGAAAAGGGTAGACAGAAGGCGAGTCTTAACTAACATCTATGGGGGAACAGAAACACCGAACATGAGCTGAGACAGAGAGAGGTTCTACCACAACCTACCTGGGCAGCCAAGCACCGAAGTTATGTAGGTGCCCACATTTCCGGGTCCACGGCTAACCGGGTTAACTTGTTCATGAATGACAAGAAAAGACACAGCAACACAGCACTCATGCAAATGTAGCAACTCTGAGCAAGGTGGATGTGCTGGGACTGGCGAGACACCCTTTCTTAGTGACTGGGGCTACTTTGAGGGCACTGCTGCAGCTAACTCACAAAGGAACCCGTGGCCACTCCACCTGGGGCTGCAAGCAGCTTCAGTGGCAGAGCACAGGCTGGACAGCATGTTTGAGGCCTGAGATTCAGCACGCACCCCCTCACCTACTAGCACCCCTTACTGCTTTGGAAAAGAAAATATACGAACATAGGAAAGTATTTTTCCCCATGCCATGTGGCTGTCCCTAGCTAGGTAACCCAGGCTACCCCAAGCTGTGGACTTTGGAACATACATGCACATCCCAGGGCTGGTCCCCGATGGGCCGAGCTGCATCATAGAAGTTCCAGGTGGAGAAGCCTCACAGTCTCCCACCCATTCTTTCCAGAGAATATTCCTAGAGATTTGGGGATTATGGATGGATATTTAGATTTTGAGTTTTGTTACAGCATTACTTATCTGCACTGTCATCAGGACAATTGAACAATGGCACCGTAGTTTCTAACTACATTGGTGACAGAAGCCTTCCTCAGAAACACTGGATTTTTTCTTAGACATCTTTACTAGCCCTTGATGAGCCCATGATTCCCACAGCTCGTCCTTAGTAGCCTCTCTTATTACACATACAGCTCGTCCTTAGTAGCCTCTCTTATTACACATGGGCTTCTGACTTTGTGGAGTCCGTGCAAATGCTATGAATACTGGCCATCCTGCCATCACTGCTCTACTCATGGATTACCTCCATAGCTCTCCCAGGACACACAGTGTACCACACACATTTCACACAAGAAATAAAGCTATTCCAATACATTGTCAGTGAACACTTTGGGGGGATCCCCAGGCTGCTTGTTCCTAAGTATAACTATAACCTGGAAAAGAGCAGACTGGCACAATGGCTGGTAACTCACTAAGATGGCTGGTAAGGTTCTTCTCACAGCACCTTTTCCTAACATCAGTATGAGACTGATGTTCTAACAGGAAGACAGAGTAGAGGCAGGTGGTCAATGGTACTTCAGCCTTCTGATGCTACTAGTTGTTCACACTGAAATACCATGCAAATTAAAGGTGGGTGTGCTTCTCAGTTAATCTTTACAAGTATTAACTACTAAGGAAATGTTCTAAGTCTTCGAAGTGAATTCCATAAAACTTATACTTGTCTCTTCCCTCCCTCTGTTCATTTATTTATTTATTTATTTATTTATTTATTTATTTATTTTTGGTTTTTCGAGACAGGGTTTCTCTGTGGCTTTTGGAGGCTGTCCTGGAACTAGCTCTTGTAGACCAGACTGGTTTAGAACTCACAGAGATCCGCCTGCCTCTGCCTCCCGAGTGCTGGGATTAAAGATGTGAGCCACCCCCACCCGTCTCCCTCTGTTCTTTTCTCATGGTACTGGAGGTTAGCCTAGGGCAGCACAAATGCCAGGCAAGTGTTCTACCTCTCAGCTGCATTCCCAGCACACATTTGACTTTCTATTTAGAGTCAGTCTCATACGAGGCTGTCCAGGCTGACCCTGAACTCACTCAGTAGCCAAGGCAGCCTGTCTCAGCCACTGGGTGACTGAGACCACAAGTCTGCATTACCAGGGTCAAGTACCTTTTTCTTAATGAGGGGTGTTACTGTTGAAATGATAGGCACCATCTCTCTATTATTTGTCCCACGGAAGCTCCCGCTTAATACTGCTGCGCCCTTAGGCATATTCATCAAGGTTTCCTTTTCTTAGGAACTCATGTATTTTTAAAATTGATGTTTAACACAAAAAATATTCAAATGGGGGGGGGCTGTAGGAATAGACTATTTCAAAGCAAGTCAAAGGGAATTTTATTCATTGAATGGTTAGGAAGAATACAGTGGCACTGTTAAAAGTCCTGTAAGAAAGAAATGATCTCAAAAATTAAGGAGAACATATGCCAAATATGTTATATAACAAAATATTGTATAACAAAATTTAGTATCTTAAATAGGAACAGCTGAATGCTTTCTATGTTTGGTATTTTAAAAATAATCTAAAGCTCTTGGCAAAAAGTACGGGAGTCATTAAAGGCCTCACAGGATTTCAATGTTGTCATTAGCAGACAATAGCTAGGCTTAGAGACAAAAACAACATCCCATGGGGCAACATAACAGCAAATGTTACAATCTTAACAATATACAACAACTCAAAAAATACTACACTGACAATTTCTGTTATTAAATTATAATCAGCAATTGTTATTTCATTTAAGTGAAATTAAGAGAAGCACTGATATAGATTTTATAAGCAACTAAAAAGAATGGCAGAGTGTTAGATAATCAGCAAAATAATTTGAACCAACTTGATTGAAAAAATACAATAATGAAGTGCTTATGACCTGGAAGCCTTAGAACAAACATTTAGGGCATTATATAGCCATATTTTTTGAAACACATGAATATTTTCAGGTGTAGCAGACCTGAGATGTAAGTTAGGACAGTACAGTTCATCAAGTCTACATAGACCTTTTATTCCTGTTGACTCTCCTTCCCGAGGCTGCAGAGCCCAAGCCCAGGCCATTAATGATGGAACGAAACAGAAAAGCACCATGAGATCCTGTACACGAGGACTGAGCACATTAAGGCTGAGTGCCATCTCCACGCTAAGCTAAGTGGTTCTGAGTTATCTGTCTCCTTTGCATTAGCAGTAATAATTGAACACTGACTGTGATTTTTAATTAAAGTCATTTGACCAGGCAAGAGGTTGCAAACCTCCAGAACCAGTTTCAGGAAAATTATGTGTTAATCAGGATTATAAAACTGTCTTTTGCATCTCAGACCAGTCCTGCTCTCCAGCCTACTTCATTCTCGGGCATGCCTTTCTTTTCTATAATAAACTCTTATTTCTGTCAGTAGGAAAAAAAAACCAAACTATGGTAAGCGTCCTTTCTAGGACTTCTTCCAGTAGGAAGATAGCTTTCATATTACTTAGCTTAATTTAAAAGGTAATTTTACTTCTTTTTATCTCAGAAATAAAAATCTGCAGGACTGACTTCTGTTTTCTTAAGAGCAAAAACCACAGCCCAACAACCGGCACGCAAGAACTGAAGCAGAAGTTGGGTGTGAGAACCATCACCTGTCTTCCTCGAATTGCACGAGACTATGAAGCCTGCAGCCTGCTACAGTTCTAGAGCACAGGGAAAGCCTCACAAGAAGCCAGAAGTTAAAATTTCGAGAACTCATAAACATTAGAAAAAAATCACAGGAAAGCAAAAGGAAGTAACCAGGGCTGGGACAGCTCGGCAGTGGAGAATTTGCCTGCCATGTACAAGGGTTCAGTCTCCAGTCAAAGCGGTAAAAAATACTAAACAGGAAAAACCAGAACCAAAATGCTTTTCCAAAAAGCCTTATTTTCTCTTCTGTTGAGCAACACCACTTGACAGACAGCCGAGTTTGCAGCATGGTGCCAGTGTGATGGGCCTTTTCCCATTTGCTTACTTTAATCACCACCCTCCACGAGATGGACAGGATTTCTTATAAAGTAAGAAAGGTAAACCTCAGCATTCCCAACTGATTTACCCCAAGTTCCACCCCCTTATGTTGTTGAGTAGCACACACAACTTGATTCTGTTCCAAGAGCACAGAGCCACCAGGCAGCTGTGAACAAAGGCCTCTCTGCTCTGCAGAGGGCAGGTTAATGTCCTTCTGTAGTTGTCCCAGGATTTCAGTTCAGCCCCCTTTTTAGCTTTCTACCCATTTCCATATAGGGGATGAAGGTATATCCATAAGGAGAATAAATAACCTGCTCCAGATCTCAAGGCTGGGCGCAGCAGGTCTAAAACCCCAAACCACCATGGCATGTTTTACACAGGGCCTCTTCTGCCTCTGAGCTGATACAGAAGAAAAACAAAACAAAAGAGGCCTAAACAGCTACCTTTTAAGCCTAAATTTACTTCTGTAATTGATGACTGTATGAGAAAGAACACACCAAACACAGTGTGTAGGCATCTGTATGGCAAAGGATGCCATGACATAGTCTGTGACAACTCCTTTGCGCTCACAAAGGGCCCTTGTATAGACAAGGGGATAAGGGCTAATTCTTCCTTACTTTCACTTGAAGCCACAGGCATCACTAGAAGACAGAGTACAAGCACAAGCCACACTTGGCACTGCCTCTCAGGACCTGGATACTGGGTTATTTAGGTGCCTTGGGGAGGAGGTGGTCTAAGTACAGAGGCTGTGTTGTCCAGCAGCTCCTCAGAAGTCAGAAACAGCCTCAGGGAGTGTCTGTCAAGGGAATGCTGTGTCTGCGCACCCAGTGCCTGCCCCACTCTCCTGTTAGAAAAGACTTTTCCCTAGAAACCCAAATCCCAAAAATAAGGCAAATTCTTAACAGTTATAAAAGGCATCGTAAGAAGTCACCAAGTTATTATAAAATGTGGATGTTGTCTGAGCATCCTTCAGAAGGATGCTATAAAATGGGGACAAGACTTTGACTCAAACCAATCTATCAAGCAGACTACCAGGACATATGGTTATTCACTGACAAAGAAAACAATGGGTTAATAATTATACTTATGAATACAGGAATTTTCCCCACACCACAGGTTAGTGAGCCCACCTGTGTACGTTATCTTGGCCTGAAGGCACTGCACCCAGGTTGGCAACATTTACAACCTTCTGGAGGATCATGGAGGGAGTGAAGTTCTGAGGTGCAGCGATGACTGTAGCAGAGGTCTCATTCATTCCAGTGAGCATTCCTGTAACAACAGAGGAAGGTTCCATTCAGCTGGTCTTGTTGTGAAAGGGAGTTGAACAGCTTTAAGCTCACAGTCAAGTTTTAAAACTTTTCTCAATGAAAGGCATACTACTTTAGAAGTTAATGTATAAAGTAATTACATAAAATTAAAAGGATACCAGTGTTTCTAAGATAAAAACTGTGTAGAAAAACACATAAGATGCTGTAAAAAAACAGAGAACATTCTTCATAAATCTGATTTTAACTAGTACAGGATAAAACCTGAGAATTCTAAGTAAGTTTTTTATTGTTGTTGTTTTCTTTGTTTTGTTTTGTTTTAACTTCAATCCCTTTGAAAATGTAACGTGGGTTATGTAAAATGCCTTGCTCTTACTTGGGCAAGTACTTACTTCTAAGTATTATTAGCTATTTATCCTGTTCCTTCCAAGATTATTGCCATGCCGCCTGACAACAAATGGAGTGATCCAGCCCCAGCAGCAGTACCTGAGGAGTGGCTTCCAAGTGACACTCAGCAACAGATGCGAGGACTGGAAGTCACTCAACAGTTATGCGGCTCTAGAACACAGACGCTCTCAGTCACACTCAACAATAAAGCACTGTCAGCGAACAGAACGAGAGCCAAAGACACAAATGGGAGTTTCTGAATAGAGAAGCTTGATAACAGGAAAAATGTAAGTCACAGAATTCTAAATTGCAGACATTTCAAATAGCATTAGAAAAGGAAACCAAGTGAAGTAAAATTATAGACAAGCCCCTAGTCAACACAAGACATACCACTAACGTCAGAGCCGCATGTGGTTTGTTGTTCAGGCAACAAACTCGGTAATATACCAGACTCTTGGGAAAACACTGAAATTTAGCACCTGGGTTAAAAACCAAAATGATTACAGTAAATGCCATCTATTTCCATCTGTGATGTAAGTCATGAACACTAATGGTGTCTATTAAACAACAACTTTTTGATCTTGTACACAGTACTGTACACAGTTTATGAAAATGGTAAACTTTGATTTCATGTTTTCAAAAAACTTATCAGTCCTTCTTATTTATTTAACCTCCAAGCCTATGTATGCACATTAGTTATTTATTGCAGAGGAAATCTGAACAACTTAAAAGTTCCTCTGGTCAACAGAAGAAAGACACTAAAGGCTAATAACAGTGCACAAGATCCTACTTCCATCTATCAGATAAAAACCAGAAGCATCAACGTCCAACAAGGAGCGCACTTACTAACCACTCTTGAGCCCCAGGAACACTACGTTCTGTCTTAGGCCGTTTAACTTCAACATTAGGAGAAGCTTTAACAACTACACAAGCGGCCAAACTGTGCTTTTAAGTGAAGCGCAGAGGCTGACATAAGACTGCCGAGAGATGTGTGTACTCATTTAGGATTTAAACCGTCTCCATTAAGCTCTATTGAAGAGCAAGCGCTGAATAAATGAATGCAACTATGTTTATGTTAAAAGCCTGTTTCCCGCAGCATGTAATTAAAGGAAATGCTGTACAAAGCCAGTACTTTTGTCAAGCTCCTGTAAATGGAAAGATGGATAGCACTCAGAGAAGTGAATGCATTGCTTCATATTTAACCTTAACACTCTTGTCATTAATGGTTTGTCTAACTTGTTCTATAAAAGACAAGGTACTGCTCCATTGAAGTAAAATTAAAAAAATCAACTAAACCATGCTTTTCAGAACAGAAGATTCATTATCGTCAGCTAATGTATTGGCATAAAGCAAAGTAACATCCTATCGAGTAAGGCACACATTCAATCTGCCTTCCCACCCCCCTTTATTTTTAACTCATGCTGTTTTATTGTTATAGGCAATTTGTACCACTCAGCATGACAGTGTAAACTGAATCAAGATTAATTTACATGCAAAAGCACACTTAGGAGAGCAGCATGGTAAGCAAATGTATTGTCTCGATTGCTGAGGTGGAAAGGAACCTGGATGGGGAAAGGTGCTCTAATTAAGGGGCATCAAATATGATTGCTTGTGGTAGTTAAGGGCCAGAGAATAGCAAATGTTTGACCATTTAAGGAATTAGCATCTTGCGAGCTAGGAGCCCAGAAGATGGATGCATAAATCACAATAAAATTAAGCAAGCATTCTAGGTTTCTTTCTTAAACCGTAGACTTCGCTTAATGAAAATATATCAGGTATTCTCAAATTAACAAGAAAGAAAAATATGCCATGGTGATCATTAAATATTTGCCCATACATGTATAAAGGTAAAGGTTCTAGGAATACTCTGAAGTTGTCAGAGGGAAGGGCTGTGGCTTTGGTGGAACTTAATAGCATTTTGTTCAAGGTATAAGACAAGATTTAATTGAGGCTCATCAGATGTAACTTATAGCTAAAATAAAAACCAAGGAATGCAATGAAATCTTATTTGAAAAGATTTTCTAAGTTTTAGATCTGAATTTTAAATGACAGGAGGAGGAGGAAGATTCGAGCAGGCAGCCTGGAATAAACCACTGGCCCGAGTCTTCTGAAATGAAAGCTGTCTGAAGAAACTAAACTCATTTTTTTTTTTCCGTATACTTCATAGTTTTGAAAGGCTCTCACACATAGCTCATTAACTGCAATGCTCCAAACTCCTAACAAATAAGTCAAACTTCAGTCAAAGGCCCAATGATATGAATACTGTAACACTGTCAATATATAGGACAGCCCAATCTGATTGAGCCCACACTCCTGTTGTTTTGACCATGTATGTTCCAAAATAGAGAAAAAGGGATGGGACAGGAGGTATATTGGAAACAAACCTTCAGTTTTAAGGAATATAAATGTAGCAGGTCTGCTGAGATTGCTTCTAATATTTTACATATTTTTAGTTTTGTATATCCATGGAATAAAACAGAACCATATTCCTCCTGTTACTTCTTTATAATTTTTAAATTAAATCCCAATGAATACACTTAATGTATTTTTTGGGTCTTAAAATATGTCCTGTGAAATTCATCCAAGTAGAAACAGGTTTTAAAGCCAGTATGTCACAAAACGTACACATTTCTTCAATTACTTGCATCTTACCTTCTAGACCTTTACACTGACAAAATATAAACAAGTGATTTTCATTTTGGTTAGGATTTCCCTCTGGTGAGTCATCTTAAGGGGTCTTCTGTGAAAGCTCAACTCCCTTCCTGGAGCAGTTTCACCAGTTTCACCACCCCCTGTGTAAAGTTGTGAATTGAGACCTCTATTAGCAAACCCGCTGAAACCCATAACTAAAAAGATGGGGCTGAAAAAGCCTGTGGTGAATCCGCCAGCATCAAGTCCCACGTCAAAGGACGAATTCGGGAAGACAGAGAGAATGATACAGAAATGCCAAGAGACCTCGAGGATTTACAAATACTTCATATAAACACATTTTCAAATAGCTTTATTCAGAGTAGCCTTTCTGCTCTATTAAACATAGCAAACAGCTGCCAGATTTATTCAGACAAATAATCAACAACCATAGAAGTAAAATGGCAGAAGAAAAAGGAATTTTGGCAACAAGCCACAGAGGACGGCGGCTATTCTCCGTGTGCACCTCTCCCATGCACTTGCGGTTCTGTATGACTAGTCAGCGAAAAATCCCTCAGTCACAGCAGAGTACAAAACATTTGATGGAAATTGCAAGTATTCTAAACAAAAGCCTAGAAAGAGAGAGAGCAAGGGCATGCAGCAATGTGCAGTGTAGTCTTGAGCTGCACCCCGAAGGCAGGCAGGCAGGCTATCCCCTACAATCGGTGCCTTCCTCCGTGGTGCGCGACTCACCTTGGTTTGCTGAGCAGATGTAAGGCAGAGGGGCAGGCTTTAGCCAGCAAAGGGCAGAACAGCAAACACGAGAATCAACTCATTTGTCATTGAAAAAAAGAAAGCCACAGAGATAATTTCTTCTATAGCAATACTCAACTTTTAAGAAGACAAATGCAAAGTTGGATTTAGTTATCCCTTAAAAAAAAAAAAAAAGAAACCACTTAAAGAGGTTGGAGGTGGGAAAAGAATCTACACTAACAGTGTTGTCTGAGGGTTTGGTGGTGGGGTGCTTTGACAACAGGTCTCTCTGAACCCACAGACAGCCAGGGCTAGAGTAAAGTAAGCATTCGGCATGCCAGGGAGTTTCGTGTGTGCAGCCCTTCCTGGAAGAGTGATGGATACAACTGAAAGGCCTCCAGATAAAACGATCTTTGGTTATACCCTCCAAAGGGAAAAACAGTTTAGTTCACATTAGCCTTTCACATTGTTGATGGCAATATTTAAATAAACCCTACTTTATGAACAGTGTACTTAAACATGGAAAACCAGTGTTTACCATATGCATACACAAAAAGGCCCTTGCTTTTATTAGAAAGCATGCTTGACTCAAGTACAATACTAATACCTGCAGTCTGTTGCACATATTTTATTTGGTGTATATTTAAAAATCTTTTAGATCTGATTTAGTCAAAGTATTTCTTTAATAGAATTCAGTCAAAAAAAATAGAGGTCTTTCAATAGTGTAATTAGGGCTTTATTCTGAAGAGTAAAGTGTGTTATTGTGCACGTGGAAAAGCACATTAGGAGGAGACGAAAAACAACTTTATAATAAGGTACGAACAAATGCAGACCTAAGTTAAGGCTTACAGAGGTACAAAGAACATCAGAGTCTCCAGTTCCTGGAATTTAAAACACACCAGCATAGCACGGGGCTAAAAAACAACTCTCAGAATTGAACAATTGATTAAGGATCAGTCTATTATTTTAATTTAAAGACATATTAACCGATTCCCAACCCTGCCAGGAATATACATAAATTTGGACTTTTAAAGTATGAGTGCAGGCATTAGAACAAATGGGAAGAGTGTGGTCAGGCCAGCTGCTGGCATATACTGCTTAGTGCAGAACTTTCTAGCAAACTGTAGTCACTGCTCACCTCGTTCCTTCTTAAAGTCTTTCTCTGACATGGCCACAGGTAAAAGCAGTTCCCCAACAGGTGGCTGAATGTTGACGTTGAAGCAATCATCTTTGGTGCTAAGGGGAAAAAAATCCAAAGATGACCAAATGCTTAAAACAAACAAACAAAAGGGAGAAGGGACTTACATATGAAACAAGCTTGTTCCCTAACTTGAACTAATAAATAATAATAATAATAATAAAAACACTGCACAATTTAACAGAAACAGTTAACCTTGAACTTCTGATCCTCCTGCTTCCACCTTCAAGATGCTGGTTATAGCTTGTACCACCATGCTAGTTTATGCCATATTGAAGACAGCCCAAGGCTTCTTGAATGCAAGGAAGCATGCTACTAAATGAGCTATACCCCCAGCCTCTCAGCATTTTATTCTTCACTCTGTTGTTTTGTTTTTTTCGAGATAGGGTCTTTTGTAATCCAGCCTGGCCCTCAACTCCAGATGCTCACACCTCTACCTTCCAAGTACAAGAATTACAGGTGTGTGCCACCACATCTGGCTTTTGTTATTCATTCCTTATCTGCAATAAACAGTGAATATTTGCTCCTTTATCTATCTAGTGTGTTTAAACTGTGGGTGCTGTGTGTATGTGTGCATATGTGTGTGTGTGCACACATGCATGCCAAAGTATGGAAACCCCCAAGGACCAGGTTTCTCTAGCTTTCCACTCCACCATCCACGGGATGCCAGATGGCTGCTGAATCTCCAGGTACCACTTTTACATTCTAGTTGAAGAGGGAACGTGATGATGCAGTGGTGAGCAAATGAGCCAACCAAATCTGCTCCTTTTTGAGGCAGGAAAGCAAAAGCTTCCCTGAGCTGTCTACAGAGGGACTATTCCTTTCAGGTCCCAATGGATCCCAATGGGCAAGGGAAGGTGACTTGGGAGTGGCTGTTATTAGATTAAAGCTGGTGAGACAGGGACTAACAGATGAAGGGACATAAAAACCTACTTACATTTTATGTTACTACTGATTTTTTTCTTGCTGGTACCAGGGGCCAAGACTAGAGCCTGATGCATGCTAGACAGTGCTCCACCACTAAGCTGACTAACCACTCTCCCCACCCTCACATAAGCTATTCATGTAAGCTACCTTCCATTTTCCCACACATGGATTGTTCAAGGCAAACCAGTAAGGCCTGTTTAAGTATTAAGCTAACATTTACTGAACAAAGCTGTGCTCTTATGTACTGTGCAGATATCTGGGGAATTTAATGAGACTAGACCCTAACCCAAATCCAGTGGGATGGAGAAAACCTCCTGTGTAGTGAAATGTTTAGCTGGATGCTGGACTATGTGGGAAAAGTGCAACCCCGGCTGGCTTGTTTAGCAGGAGTGAAGGCAGGAGAACCTTGCACCTAGGCCTGTATTTTAGGAATGGCAAGCATGGGGAGCCCACGGATGAGGCTGATGGCACAGAGCAGAGGGCTTTATAGCCAGCATGGCCACTCATGCCAGTTTTCTATGGAGCACTCCAGTTCAGGCATCCTGGAACCCTGGCCAGCTCCTGCCTCTGTGTGAGGTGTATGTATACGCATTGTCAAGCAAACATACAGATCCTTTATTTGCAGAACCAACACAAAGCACTTTCAGGGTTTATATTTTTAAAGATGCCTTTTTATTTGTGTGTGTCTATGTATGCATGAGAATACCTAGGAGGCCAGAAGAGAGCATCAGATCCCCTGGAGTCACCTGATGTGTGTGCTAGGAATGGAACTCAGGTCCTCTGGAAGAAGAAGCAAGTGCTCTTAACCATCTCTCTAGTCCACTTTTACTGCATCTTAGAGCAATGATGAGCCACTGGAGACCTTGAGCACTCATCCCATCTATAACTTAGAAACTGGTGAGGAGGGGAGTATCCAGGTGGAGAGATCACTGAAGTCTGGTTGAGGGGGGCAGGTGTCTTAGCATTCACTGTGTATTTTACTCAATAAATCCTAACAAGATTGATCCCAAGAGGCAGCTTCTGTTATCCATCATCTACTAGTTCAAACACCAAAGAGGCTGGGGGTGTGACTCAGTGGTAGAGTGCTTGTTGGCATGATTAAGGCCCTGGGTTTGAGTGCCAGCAACATCCAAAACCAAAAGCCCAAAGGGAATTTAATCAACACAGCCAAGGGACACACAGTTGTATGTGCTGGGCTCTGTGCCCATGTGTCTCTGCCTCAAAGCCCATGAGTATTCTGCTAGCACTCCCTGCTTTTCTGGGTTGGAGCATTTAGAATGGGAAGTTGAGATATTTACGGATACTCCAGAATTAGAAGAGACAGACTGAGGGGATGGATGGACAGAGTCTTTGAACTTTACAATGAGAACAACTGGGTGAATGACGGCACATTAAAGAGGAATCTGGATTCTACACAAAATAACTTGGTTTTAATTATCTCATACTCTGAGGTGTTCAGGAGGTAATTAGAAATGCAAATTAGGAGGGGCAGGAAAAGAAAGTGATGTGGAGAAAGGACACACTGAGAAGGGCCTGTTGCAAGCCTGTGAACAACAGGGGAAAGGACTATGGAGACAGATGGGACGAGTGGCTACGAAGGAAAGCCTGTGCCAGATCCGAAGGGAGGCCTAACTGAGGACTAAAAGGAGAAGCACCAAATGCTTCCCTCAGCAAGATGGATCAAATGGGAGAGAAACACAGGGAAGCAAGGAGCAAGTAAGAGTGATTGGAGAAGCAAGGAGAGGTATGGAGCTTCTTCAACAGGAGATGAGAGCAGCTCAAAAAATGCAAAGGAGCAGTGAAACACAGAGATGGCGTGGGGTGGGGGGGAGTTGCCTGCTAGAGCAAGGTCTTTTTATTTCTTTCTTTTTTGGATTTTCGAGACAGGGTTTCTGTGTAGTTCTGTCTGTTCTGGAACTATGTAGATCAGGCTGCCTTTGAACCTGGAGATCTACCTGCCTCTGCTTCCCAAGTGTTGGGATTAAAGGTGTGTGCCACCATAGCCTGGCTAGAACAAGGTCTTAATGATGAGTGTAAGCACTGGTTAGCCTGGGGACACAGAGAAAAACCATGCTTGAAGGAGAACACCCAGCCCAATGGAAGGGATGGTTAACTTATTAAGGGAGATGTGCAACAATCCATAAATGAGTAGGTGTGCACATCACATAGTATATGAACTATAGATTTGATTTATAAACTAGTAAGTATGAGACAGAAAATTAACCCTTCAAGTTGCTAGCTACACCAGTGTTCTACAAAACAGAAGGCACAGGAAAATTCCTATTAAACATGTACTAATTAGTTTTTATACCTTTAATTTTTTTGTGTCCCATTTTATTTTAGTATGTAAACAATGTCAGCATGGGCTGGAGAGATGGCTCAGAGGTTAAAAGCATTGGCTGCTCTTTCAGAGGTCCTGAATTCAATTCCGAGCAACCACATTGCAGCCCATAACCTTCTGTAATGAGATCTTGTGCCCTCTTCTGGTGTGCAGGTATATATGCAGGCAGAACACTGTATACATAATAAATAAATCTTTTAGTAAGCCAGCATACCAAATCATACACTTACACACACACACACACACACACTCACAAAAAATAAACACACATCCAAGGGATGCACAGTCAAGCTTTTTACTAAGAGAGGCATGTACATAACTTCAGAAGGTAGAGGACCAGAAGGGCAGATGAACTGTGCTATCTGTCATTCTTTTGAAAATAAGAAGAGGGCTCTCCCAGGGCTCCTGAAAAATATCACCACATATTGTGTGGGTCCAAGGTGGCTCTGCTGCAGTGATGGATGGGAGTGGTGCAGAGTGGGGAGGAGGGGAGGAAGATGGCTTTTTAGGTCTAGGGTCAGGGAAGCACTCTTGAATGTATTGTCTTAAGTGACACACAGTGTGTGGGCGAACAGCAGACTCCACTGGCCAGATGTGTTCTACTCTTGGTGCTTATGCACATTTTCTGTTGTGCCTGCTGAAATGGAAACACAGTGCCCAAAATGGGGCACTGGAGGTAAATGTAACAGGACTAGAACACTATAGTGGTGGACACTGATCTCCCCCTCCCTTGCTCTACACAGCTGAGCCACAATGAATCTAGTAACAGTTTAATGTAAAGTAAGATTTTACTTGAATGTTTAACTGTGATGCATACACAACTACACACAACCCCATTTTACAGATGCCCATAATCCAAATGGGTAAACCAAGTAAGAGAGATGGAGTGTGCAGGTTGCTTATTGATCCTGAGACTCAAGGCACCTTATATAAGGAGAGTAATAACCCCTCAGAAATGATAGGACAATGTATTACAGCCACTCAAAACTTACATATGCAATCCAAATGTATCACAGGTCTTTCTCTAACAAACAACTACTTATCTGAGCTTCATCCTCTAAAGATGAATTGCTCAAGTGAAAACAATGAATATTTACCACTTGGATAGACAGTGTAGAGTTGCCCTAAACAGTGACGCCAGTTTAAGGCTCACAAATGGCATACAGGAATATGTACTTTTCTCTGCCTTTCTTATCAATACCAGGCATTAAAATTATTTTGAAAGTGTCAGTCATAGATGAAAATTTGGAAAAATTTTTATTTTTCCAAATACTAGCCACATTACACATCTTATGCTTACTTGCCATTTGCATTAATTTTCTTTTTAAAAATTAAAAAAATTATGTTTGTGTTTGCCTGAATGAATATATGTGTACCTTGTGAATGCCTGGTGCCTGTGGAAACCAAGAGGGTATCAGGTCTCCTAGAAGTGGAGTTACAGATGGCTGTGGGTGCTAGGTATGGACTTGTGATCCTCCACAAGAGCGGCAAGTGCTCTTAGCCAGAGAGCCATCTCTCCAGTCTTCCTTATAAACTGCTTATGTCCCTTCTTTTCACTTTTCTACTGGGCCCTCATCACAGAATGAGAGTTCTTTCTACATCCTACCAGCTTGAGCTTCTGTCTGTTCTAGACACTTCCATGCTTTTCTACTCCCTGTTTATGATTCCTACTGTTCTTTTCCATGAAGAAATTTTACATTTTAAAAAACTTTTTACTGATTCTTTGTGAACTTCACATCATGCACCCTAATCTCACTCATCTCCCCATCC